AATTGATATTGTAATATATACCATTTGTAATATCTGTTAATGCATCTTGAATGTTATTCAATGAAATTACTTGATTTTTCACGATTTCGGCCTATTAAATGATTCGAATAAGAATCTATTAAATATTGAGATAAAAATTGGTAAATTAATATCATAATTTTCAATAATATGAAAAAGTTCTGTTGAATGACATAAAAGAGATGATGCTTCAAATATAGGATCTTTTAAAGTTATAAATACCTGACCTTTATAGAATGAATAATAAATTGATTTTGGAATATTGCATTTTATTATAATACTAGGAATAATTCCAACTTTAGTAAAATCATGATCACTAACTAAAAAGATTTCATTTAAGCCAACTAAAACTTGCTTTTTACATTCTACTGCTGCTACTGGGTACCTAGGTTCACCCACTTTACAATGATGTTTATCATCAAGAAAATAAAATAAACTATATTCACGAAATTTTACTGCTAATTCTTTTTGATAAAAAAAAGTGCTGAAGCATAATGTGTATCAGGATGATTTATACGAAATTGTTGAGCTTGAATCATAAATTTAATATTTAATCGACTAGTATATTGTAGTGCATTTAAATTATAAGAAGATTTTGGCCAAAATTGTAATTGAACCCACTGATTATAAGAAATTAATGTTTCAAAAGGACATATTGCAACAACTTGTTGTACAAAATTATTAACTGAAATTGCTCTTGCTAAATGAATTACTGAACTGTGTCTATGATTATTAATAGCAAGTAATAAATCTGCAATACTAGCAAGAAAATTTTGTGCAACTTTCCAAAATGCTTCATAACATGTTGGTGCACCAGGATTGTATTCTCGTAAATTAGTAATAATTTTTGGAACTCCAATTTGTAAAGCTAATTTAATTCTTTTATTTACTTCTTTTTTATTTTGATTTTCAGCTACAGCCAAATCACTAGTTAAGTCAACATATAACAAATATAATGCCATTGGTTTAACTGAGCCTAATAACATTTCACATTTAGATCACCAAAGTTTACACATTGCTCTTGTATAATAAATATATATATCTTTTTCTAATATTTTTGCAATCTCAAAATTCTATAACATTATTTCTAAATCAGATGTATTTACAGGTATATGCTATAAGTATATTACTGAAGAACCATGTGTACTATCATGTATATATTATGCTACTTTAAAAGAAAACCTATTATTTAATTCTTTAATATATCGATGTTTTGACCTATTAATAAACTTAGTTAAAAACAATTGGTAAAAACAATTTATACAATATTGCTAATAAACTTACACAGGCTCATTTGGAAGAAATGATTCAATGTTTATTGTTTTTCAAAAGTTACTTTGCTCAAGAAAATCAACTAAAGTTTGATAATGATCAATAATATGAGATTTTCTAACCAAATTGGGCTGTAAAATAGTAAGAAAACTATTGTTTTTTTTAACTGGTTCTAAGGAAAAATGATTTTGAGTTACAGTTATTAGCTGTTTTTGTAAAAATTCTTGATATTGAGACAAATTTGTAGCTAATTGCTCTAATGGATTAACAAGCCAATGAAATGCAGGTTTTCTAATCCATGCAGATCTTGTATATTTGAATAAAATATTTGAATAATATGCAAGTGTAGTTTTATCAAATTGTTTTCTCTTTTTTTTTAAGCAACTTATATCATAGCATTTAGTAAACTGTTCCATTTCAATAGGAATAGCAAAACCTTGGATTTTCAACCTTTTTTGAATTATATTTATCTGTATACCATAATGCAGCAGCTAAGTCTTTAACAAATTCTTTTTTAGTTGTTATAGCAGTATCTTTGCTTCATTTACCATTATTTTTATGAATCTATTCAACAATATCATATCTTAATTTCTTTAGTGCATTTGATTTTTCTGAAATAATAAATGTTGGTAGATAATTAAAGTTGGTAGCATTGTTTATCATTTGTTCAAAAACATTAATTGATATTTTAGAAGGTAATAACATTAAACTATCTGTTTAATAATATTACACTCTGTTTCCCTAAGCTTTAATTGCTTTGATCATATTACATTCCATACTAACAACATTAAAAGGCCCAGTTGTGTTAAATAAAAACTCTACTTTAACTGGTTGCAGACAATCTTTATAATTCAACTGCATCTCAGAAACAATGTTTCCTGCAATAAGATCTTCATAAAACTGTCTTACTGTAATATTTTTAGGTACAAGAACACCAATCCAGTTTAATTTTACACTTTCTGCCTTAATATGCACAGAAACAACAGGCATTTTGAATTTTGTAAGTAATTAAAGTTTAAATATTCCTATATGATTAGATTTATACTTGCATTGTTTAAAGGTATACTCATATGAATTTGTGCAATACTATGTATAAATAACTAGCTAGAAAATTAAGAAACTGGGTTTTTGTAACAAGTATAACCTCTTAGTTAATCCTAACCAGATAAGATAAGTACAAATTAAATTAAATGCCATTTTGGAAGTTGTATGGTAATTACTAATAATAAACAAGTTTTTATCTAAATTGTCATAAGGGTTAAGGAATGTATATTGCTTTATTATTATATACACAATTCTGCTATATGGTTTGAATATTTATTTATTTGTTTCACACTTCTTTTTCTTCATTACATCAGTCTTCCCTATCAAATATCCCTTTTACCAATTCACAACAGTAGCATAACAACATTTATTAGATAGTAGTTTATTTTCAAGAAAAATCCAAAGTGGAAGTTCTTTAGAATCAAATTCCTTATTTATTCAATTTGATATGCACTTACATCATAGTCTGTTATAATAAAGTTTTTTATTATAAAATTTCACATGCATTTATATCATAATAAACTTTTTAATTACACTATTCCAATATATTATATCCTAACATTACACAACTATTCACTGCATCGATCCTTCCTATTTCTATTTACTCTTGTTCTTCATATTCCTGCTATTACTACTACATGCAACTCAATATAAATGAACAAATAAATCAATAATATGTAATCAAAATCTCTCATATTTAACATTTAAGTCAGTTTTCCTTATTTTAGTAGAATTCTATATACTAATTTGTATAGCTACAAAAATTTTCTTTATGCAAATCAATAGATGCTATGCATCGCTAATTCTACTGCCTCAGTTTTAATATTTTATTTAAACTGTAGTTTTATAATGCCTTTTTCAGGAAAGCCTTAAAAATTCTGGTCTACAAAAATTCAAAATTTGGATATAAACATGAGTCAATTAACTTAGTATTTTTTTGTTTTTTAAAAAAAAAAAATAAAAATAAAAAAACGACCAACCGACCTAAGTTTCAGATTTCATGTAATGTTAAATGAAAAATTTACTTGGCATAGCCTTACATATGAAATTTTTCACTTGATCCTCGTCGCAAAAGCTTTTGTTGAAGAGTTATACAGTGTCATAGATTTTAATTTGATCATTATTCTTTTATGCTGATTAATATAAGCATTATGATATTCAAGATCATACATCTCCAAAAAGACTGGCAATAAAATTTTCAACCTTGAGGTAAATCCTTCAAGCAATTTTTAGCACATGATTTAATAAAAAAAAAAGAAGAAAAGCCTTGAGTACATTAAGATGCTTGTAATTGAAAGCTAGTAACATTTATTTACAAAAACTTGAAATAACAAACATGAAGTCAAATCTTTTAAAAATAGTATATTTGTTTCCAAATAAGCCTATGGGCACCCCGAAATAATACACATTGTATATAATATGTATATGGATTTACATATACTGTATAGTAATAAATAAGCTTGAAGAATTGGCTTTTATTTTGAAATAACACACATGACATACTCAAAATAACAAATAACATCCATTATTTCGAGTTTTTACATACCTAATGTATTACAAAACCATGACCGTTCCAGTATTTTAAAATTCTTTAAGATTATTAAATAAAACTTATTACTACCAGAAGCCTATATAATATAAGTATCAAACTCAAAGAAGCCAATCAAATTTGTTAATGTTATAAAACACCATATATGTGCAAAACTAATCAGGAATGGATTTATAAATTGAGATCAGGTTATGTTTGAATTGATACGGTTTGGCTGTGACCCAACTCACAACTTCACCACTGCTTGCTCTCGAAGGTTTTGATCATTTGTAAGCAATACAACAGCCTCATTATTATTGCTTACACTTTTTCTTATTTGTTATGAAAACTATTATTACCGTGATTCTTGATATGCACAGACAGATGCAAATAATTAGATCATCTAAATTTTCATTTTATTTTCACCATCACCAAAATCAAATTCTTCACTAAAGTTAATTTCAGATACATAAATGCCTTTATTTGTCTAAACTTAGAGTTTTTCAGACAATGATAAAGCTTGTTCAAGATAAGTAATTGCCTCAGATGCTTAGCATCAAGAGAAGGTAAGTTAAGTTTTAACCTATTCAATTCCATGACAACTATAAGAATAAAAAAAAAACTTAATAAATAATAAAAACTCTAGTATTTCTATTATATTAACTAGTGTTCAGATCCTCTATATGGATTAGAATTTGATCTACCTGTGAATCAGATCTGGGCTGAATCTTCTACAGAACACCAATATATAATGTTAAGAGCAAAATGGGTATCAGAGTTGCTCTAGCTCAGTGCTGCCCTGACTCATGCCACTTTACAGCAAGAATGCCCCTAAAGCAAGGCAATTATTATGCATCAATTATACTTTGAGAAACTTAAAAGCCAAGTTACTCAACTAAAACAATGTCATAACAATGCAGAATCAGAGACTATAACTGTTTGTTGAGATAGATCTGTCATATTGGACTAGTTGTTTGTGTTACATTAGGTTATTCAAGGTCCCAATCACAATGATAAATATGAAACTATTGAGTTTGGTAAGAAAATGTTTGATCTTGGGTTCCTGAACTGTCTCTTTTTGTAGAGTATTATTTTATATATAAGTGCATTTTTTCTTTGAGTTATAATAAGGAAAGAATCAAGTAGAATCATAATTGTTAATACTAGTCAAAATAATAATAAAAACTATCTTAGTAATCAACTGAGACTTTGCACTCATATCTTAGTCTTATCAATTATTCTATCTTTTCTGTGGTGTAATATTTCATAATATTTAATATTTTTGAATAACAATTCATTATATTTTTCTTGACATTGTATTTTGCAAATTCAATTTCTTTTTTAACAATAATATTTACTTATCAATCAAAGATACAACCACTATTTAATTATCATTTTGAATGATTTTTTAATTATGTTAAGATTCTCAATAAGGCAATTAGTATCTATTATAATTGAAATATGTCCTGTAACAATTTTAGAAAATGAAAAGTGGTGTCATTTTTTTTATTGTATAAAAGGTATTTTTCCTAGAATTCTTACAAAAATTTCTGTATTGAAGAACTTCAAAAACCCTTACAAGTTGCAGCTAAAAAATTCTTTAATTCTTGTTTGTAAGACAAAATAGAATAGATAGCATAATTAGAGATAGAAAAAATGTGTATGAATACACATAATACATAAAATGTACATGATACTGCATGATAATAAATCAAAAAAAAATTTATCTTTATTATTTGCTTTGTGTATAAATAAAGATAATTTATAATCAGATTTTGTTGAAATATATAAATTTTTACTTAAAATTTGTTATAATAGTTAGTTTGAGTTTATATAATTTTCTTAATGATTATTTTTCCAATACCTAACTAGAAATTTAGTTAACTCAAACTCTAAATTGAACCCAATTCAGTTTGTCAAAACTTATAAATCTTATCATTTTTTTAATTTTTTCAATTTTTTTATTTTATATTTTTTTGTTTATTTTATAATTTTTTTGAGTTTTAAATTTATTACTTTTTTTAAAATAAATATGGGTTTTATGAAACATATGTAATATCATGAAATCTAGCAATCCAAATTGAATAGTAATAAGATCATTTAATACTGGTTACTATATCTCAAGATAGCATTATCTAAACAAAATAATTAATTTTTTTGTTTAATAATAATAAATGAATTAATTATAACATATTACTAACAATTTATTTTATTAAATAAATTGATTTTTGTTTATTAAGAAAACATGTTCATAGTAATAAAATCTACTTATTGACATGGTTAAATGGTGAGTCAGTTGCTTATCAATAGAATATATCATATAACTTATGAATAGTTTAATCAATAAAAAACATTTAGATTTGGTGAATAGTATATTATGATCATAGATATTATATTGAAATAAAAGCAATATTTTATTATTATAAACAATAAATGTCTTTTTTATAAAACTTGAAATCTTTATTATATACTTTTTTTTATATAAAGCATATTATATATTTTTTTTTTTTTTTTTTTTTTTTGAACTTTGGCGACAATGCCAGTTGGTTTTTTTTTATTAGCTTAATCCTTGATATAGTACAAATTTATGGTTATATTTTAGGATCGATTATTACTAGTACTATATACTATCTAATTTAACACCAC